AATACATAAAACACATGAAACAAACTGAAGAAATAATTAATTAAATTTCAATTTGAATCTAACAAACATTAAACTAACAATTTCACATGAACAAACTAAAAAATTAACAAAACAATGAACACGAACAAAACAAACATTTCCTGATTTTAGATTTGAGAATATCAAAACAAAATACGGACAAAAGTGAAACTCAAAAAACCCACTAACCGGATCGAAACGATGACCAACGACGAACTCGAACTATGTATGGACTCTTTCGACAAACCTCGACCAAAGCTCGAACAAACGAGATGGTTGAGTCTCGTTTTGGGACTGAAGGCGACGAAGCAAATGTGAAGCAGCAACGATGGGGTCTGTTTGGACGTAGCGAAGAAGAAGCAGTAGGAGCTGGTCGTTTGGATGGAGACAAATGAAACGAAACCCCACGTCCATGGCTGGAGCTCGGAGATGGCAGAGGTGAGCGTAGGCAGCCATGGGAGCTCGAGTTCGAGCTCGACGAAAACGATGAAAATGAAGCAGCATCGACTGGGTTTCGCTGGACAAAGCAACAGGTGACGGGGAAGGTTTGGCGGAGCTGGAGGCAGCGGGCAGCAGAAGAAGCAGCAACCATGGCGTTATGGTCGTCGACGGGGCAACTGGGGACGATGGTGATGACAAAGCAGAAGATGAAGCAGCATGAAGCTTAGCCATGGCAGCCATGGCGACGGGTTGACGATGAAGACGCAGTAACGTCAACAGAAACGAGCTCAATGGAGGAGAAAATGGTGGTGGCTAGAGCTTGTTCGTGGTTGACGAGCAAAAGCAGTCGCGGGGTTGAGGGCAGCCATGGATGTGTGTTTTGGAGTTTGGAGGAGTTGTTCATGGTGAGGGTGGTCGATGGGGTGTTGGAGGAGACGATGGGGCTGGGCAACTATGGGTTGACGACGAAGCGTGTGCGTGTGTGTTTCAAGAAGACGAAGCAAGGGCAGCCATGGATGGGGTGTTTGGGATTTTGGAGAAGAAGAAGAGAGGGTGGGGGGCGGATAGTTTAGTTTAGGGTTTGGTTTTTTTTGTTTTGTTTTGGGAAAAAATAAAAAATGAAGAGGGGTTAGGTATTGGGGTTATAGGGCGGACCGGGTCGACCCGTGTGGTGGACCGGGTCATGGGGAAGGTTGGGTAATTTTTGGGCTTGTAGCTTGAATTAGAAGAAGAGCCCAATTCCGATTTTTTTGTATTTTTGCTCTCTTTTCTTCTTTTATTTTTGTAAAACTAAATTCTAAAAATCCTTAAATTATTATTAAGAACTAAATTAAGTTATAAAAGCGTAAATTAACTCCCAATAATAATTAACGCACAATTAAGTAATAATTAAGTATAAAATTGTACAATTGGACATTAAATGCTAAAAACGCAAAAGATGCCTATTTTTATAATTTTCAATTTTTGTAAAACAAACTTAATTACCAACAATTGTAGAATTAAATCCTACATGCAAAATGCGACATATTTTTGTATTTTTTTATTAATTTAACAAATAAACATGCACAGACAAATACAAATAATTATCCAAAAATATCACAAAAATTCTCAAAATTGCACACCAAGGAAAATCATTTTATTTTGAATTTTTTGGGAGTAATTCTTTCATAGGGCAAAAATCACGTGCTTACACTCTACACTCATCACCTCGACCTTGATAAGATTCTAATCCATTTCAGACTGCATTGACCTCAGTCTCCCCTGCAGATAGTCACACTCTGCGGCTACCCCCTTGCCTAACTCAAGCTCTTCGTCCTTCACACGAAGTTGCTCCTCGAGCACACTATTTCTGTGAACGCCCTCCATCAACTACTGGTCTCTCTTCTCCAATTCCTTGCCGAGGGATCGAGTACCGGGATTCTCCCTCAACCGCTCGTGCATCTCATGACACTTATTGCGATAGCGCCGATATTTCTCCAATGCCTTCAGGAAAATCTTAGTCCGAATGTCAGCCCTACAAGCACTCTCAATTTCCAACATGTACGTTTGAAAAATGAAAAGACGGGTTAAGATCGTATCATCCAGAAAAATAAAAGAAACATGAAAGAAAGGCAAAATGTACCCTCAAGCCCATAGCGGCCACTTCATGCATCAAGTTGGTATCAAGAACGTTCCGAAGAGCCTCGTTCTTGGCAGCAGAGCATAAAATGTCGAACTGCGGCACCAGATCCTCCATGTCCCCTAGGAGATTAACATCTAAAGAGATGTCAAGAATACGGGATGGGCCTCCCGCATGAACCACCGAGTGGGTGATACCCTCCTCAAACATCCTAACATCATTAGGATCGAGGTTCAACTCGGATTCATAGTCATCGACCAAGACGCCCTTTCCTCTTTTAGCAGCTAAGGAGGAAGCACGACTAGGTATGGAGGATGAGGGCACGTCCGAAACCATAACGGCGACCTCAAAAATTTGTCCCCCCGTCACGACAGGTTGCTGATCAATGACAATGGCAAAAATCTTTGTCGACGGGGTAGATATGACGGCTGGCTCCGTCTCTACGGGCGGAGTGGTATCAACCCCCACCCCAGATCTTGTCAAGGGAGAGTCATCCAGATGTATTACAGTTGGAGGGGTTGTCCCGAATTCCACTCGCCGCCTCTTGGATGGCCCCTCTTCTTCCTCAGCACGGGGAGATTCATCCGTCAGACGAGTGGCACGAGTCAGAACCAGCCCTCGACGAGGACCGAGCAATAGATGTTGCGGCAGGGCGAGTAGACGATGCAGGCTGATGAAAAGCTAATGGAGGAGCCCTCGCTCTCCACAGTCCACACTCTCCTTGACATTAACAAACAACACATAAGAAACTAAGTAAAAAGAGAGGAAAAATAGCAAACAGAAACGACATCTCACATGTAAGGGGCCTGCGTCCAAATTTTTCATAAAAGGCCGACCATGTGCGAACCCCTGCCGGCTGCCATATGGGGAAGGATGGAACTCACCCACTCGCGGATACCTTCGACAGATGCAGCTTCAAAGACATAATGTGGTTTAATACTGTAACAGAAAGCGGTCGGGCATCTCTCTGACTAAAAACATAAGAAACTTACGCGCAAAGTTCCACTTCTCAGGGAACCCCGTTGGATCCGCCACATGGTGCTCGGTCCGCACATAGAAATAATTCTCGTAGAAATGATGGTTAGCCCTGTCGTCCATTTTCACCACCATACTCTTCGACCCCCGAGGGCACATGTGAATCATCGTGCCGCGAATGAGCTGAGGGGCAAAGATATTGAGCATGTGATCCAAAGTAATCTCACGACCGGCGAGCTTCGCGAAGTTGAGCAACATAAGGAACAATTTATACATGTATGACGAAAGTTGAGCAGGGCATACCTCGTAAAAACGACAGAAATCTACCACCAGGAGAGGAAGTGTGTACCCAATAAGAAAGGGGTAGGCGTAGAACACGCAGTACCCGGGGCGGTCAAAATGGACTATGTCGTCCCCTACCGCCGGCCGCATGTCAACGTAACGGAAAATTCCCTACCTAGCTTTCAATTCTGTGATTTCCTCCTCTTTTATAATAGAGGGGACAGGTCCGGCTCCTCCCCAGCGCGACTGCAGAAGTCGGTCCATTCTTTCCCAAGACGAGGCAAGATCTCGGCTACCGACGGGTGCTCCTCATCTTCCACCACCTCTACTCCTCTGGTGGCCAGAGCAACATTTTCCGGCGCCAGAATTGTGACAGGGAGGTCAGCGCGAGAAGAATCACCAGCCATTGTATCAATTTGGTGTAGTAAAAAGACAATGGAAAGAAAGGATGAAAGTTTTCAGTTAACTGGGGGCGAGTGAAAATTTGGAGTATCAGGAAGAAAGTATATTCGCCAAATTCTTTCAAGCAAAGGGCAAGGAAGTGTGTCAATTGAATATGTGTTCCTTCTATTTATAAGAGACATAAATAGCCCAAGCACGAAACTCAATAGTCGTCAATCAAATCTGATAGGGCACGAAACGTTTCGATTCCCTAGGAACGTGTGTCATAATAGCGACAACCACAAAACAACGTTTCAATCCAAACGACGTTTCGGTTCCGAAACAGCCGCAACGGTCCAAGGATATCGAAAGAGCGTCGTCATCTCACTTAAAACCTAAGGAGCATAACCAAGGGATGAGTAGTCAGATTTCTCTCGGATTTGTAGCAATCATGATCCGTCTGCCTGGCCCGACAGGGGACGACCCCGGCAGACGGAGGGACTAATTGTATTGGTCAAAATCTGACCGCTGCGGTCAAGCTGACCAACATCCCGTCCAAGCGGCAAGGCAGCGAAAGACGACATGGTCTATTCCATATCCCGCACTCACGATACCCATCGAGTTAGAAGAAACAATGTTCAGGGGACGACCAAGGCAGACATAGTATGAAAGAGCATCAGACCAAGTACATAGCAAAGGTCCCATGACTATATATAGTGGGGGAAAACCTTCGGTAAGGGGGAGGGGGCAGTTTTTTACTTCTTTCTCTCTAGTCTCTCCCTAGTTCTCTCTTCTGTAATCTTCATAATAAAAAGAAGAGCGAAGCATTCTCCAAGAAAATATGTAAAATGGTCTCCTCCATTGATTAATGCGAGCCACAATGGAAAGTTTCAATAAGATTGGTTACCTCTATCTTATCTTATGTATTATTTTTCCAATTAATTTATTGATTTGGAGTTTATTATTTACCCCTTTATTTTTTTAATTGATTTATTAAAAAAGGTTCTAATATCTTTTGAGTCAAACAAAATCATTGACCTAACATTTGATTATCACGAATTCAAATTCTAATGAGGTTCTAGCCACCAAAGCTTAATACTGTGCAAATTCAATTTTCGTAACGGTGCTTTGTCTTCTCCTTTTCCGGTTCTTTTTTCTACATTGTTGGTCTTTTATGTTTTTCCCCCATGTAAAATAGGAGTAGTAATTTTCAAATGAGGTTCCAGTCAATGACATCAATGAGACATTCCTGTCCTACACAACAATTGAAGTATAAAAGCCCAAACTATCCGTACTAGAAAGCAGACGATCAAAACAGAATGCTTAGCCTTCCTTCAACAAAATAATCAAATCAAAACACCCTTTACTAATCTAACCACCGGTAGATGGAAACTGCTCTTTCAACAACACCTGCATCATTTCTCAGAATCAATTGATTTTCTAAACTCCTCTCTCTCTCTCTCTCTCTCTCTCCTTGAGCGACAAAGGGGGAGAGAGAATAATAGCTGATTTCTTTTTGTAAATTCTTGCACTGAAAAATGCAATTGAAATCTGTCAACACATTTGCAATCACTATCATGTTTGGTTTTGCACTTATCATCCTATTTTTCTCTGGATTTCTTGATTTCCCACTTACCGCTTCTTCAATCCCATCAACCAAAAATCAAATCTTGACCACCATCTCAGCTTCCAAGCCCGACCCGTTTAGCAACTTGTTCGGTGCTTTCAAGAAATGGGATTCTCAAGTGGGTTGTGCTCAATTCAAGGATAAACACAAAGGGTTGTTGTTAAATTCTTCTTCTGGTTCTTTGCAAAAAGTTGATGAGGGTGAATTGAAATGTAATGAGCTGAAGATGGATCATGTGAGTGTATTAGTTAAAGGCTGGACTTGGATTCCTGATAATTTGGATAATTTGTACTCTTGTCGATGTGGGCTTAGCTGTTTGTGGACTAAATCCGAGGTTCTAGCTGATAAGCCTGATGCTTTGTTGTTTGAGACAGCAACTCCTCCCCTTGAGGTATTATTTTTAACCAATATTAGCTCTTTTAGCTTAAGCGTGATTGAGCAGTTTTAGCTGTGGAAATCAACATTAATAATGCATCTGCATGAACTTATATTTTCTAGTTCGTGGTAGTGCCTGATTGATTACTGTCTAAGCTGCTATCTTTAGGAATCAGTGTTGGACTTGGCTCAAAACATGACAAAGTGGAGGCAAATGATCAACTAGCTGGATGAGACTAAGTTGTTGTTGTTGTTACCTTCTCCAAAAAAAAAAACACTAAGTTGTTGTTGTTACACTTACGTTGGGTTCCGGCGTTTGTTAGGAGCTTTTTATTCTGGTTTGTCCATGTAAAATACATTTAGAGAAACTCTAATGTTAGAGAACCTTCATTTCCCTTAAAAAAGTAAATTATTTAGTACTGGAATGACATGGGCTTAAATAGAGCAGAATGGAAATTGAGGACTCATATACCGAATCCCAACTAATTTGGGGTTGATGCGGGCTCGAAAGATCTTCCTTCAGCCTTGAAAGTATTCCGATGCTTTAGTGTGAATGCAATCACTTCTCCAAATATAGTTGAGTAAATGTCTAATAATCTAAGATTGATAAATATGTTTGCAGTCGCTTAAAATCAGTCAAGGTATCAGCATATGATTTCTTTATGCCTTGTTGGAGAGACCCATGGAATTACCTTTTTATGTCATCTTACATGTCACAATACAGAAGAGTGAAATGGACAGCGAATAATCATTTCCCAAGAGGATTGCAACTTGTATATTCCATCTACCTCGTTACCCTTTCTTATAAAGTTAGTGCATGATGAATTCAGGCATTCACATGTTTTGATCCGAATTCTCAGACCGTCAATTAAGCTTCTTAACAAGCTTCTACTTCAAATACATTTAGAATTCTCTTTTCCTTAGAATGTTTGAGGTGATATACTAAAACATCAACAATATATGTTCCATTAGATGCTCTGCAGACATCATCCTACCGGTTTAATTATGTGAAATAGATACATGTGAATGTACTGAGAGTTTTGAATCATCTGTTTCGTGCTGCTATTCCCTGTATATGTTTAGCTTCCAAACGTTCTGAGGTCTCTCCAACTAAACTGGACTAGTCGATCTGTCACAGCTCCAGAAATGTAATCTTGAAGCCTCAATTCCTTTCGTTTGCTAACTCTTTGCAAGTACTTTACATTAAACTTCTGATATTTTTGAAGCTAATCGGTGGAGCTTGCAGCTAGGAAACATTTATTTCCAGAAAACGAAACCTTTTACCCTTTATTTTTCAGATAGACTAACCCACAGTCACAGATTACTTTCATCCATATGTCACAGATTATTGTTTTCTAATGGAGCCTCAAAGCTGTGATGTTGACCAATCAATGGTTGTTTCACTTATTCTTCTCGAGATATATGTTATTGATGTATGGAGAAAATAGAAAAAAAAAAGTATCCTTTACTTATAATGGCAGCAGGACTATCCGACTTGCATTATGGATAAAGTGAAGTACTGTTGGTAAAAAATACTTCAGACCCGATGATTTCTTATCTTACTAGTAATTTATGATTCTATCTTAGTTTAAGACTTATTTTTGTGTATAGTGGTCAATGTTTTTTACTCAATTTTTTGCAAGTAAACCCCAAAAAACTGTCTGCTGTACCTGCTGTACTCTATGACATATTTAACTATTCAATTTCTTGGTGTTTTTGCTAGCTTGCTTCAAGTAACCAATTAGTTAAAGTCTATATATACATTGATGTGAACTTAGCATGTACAGTGCTCCACTTAGACCTACCCTTTGCAAAATTAGAGTTTGGTGTATGACTAATTGACTATAATGTTTTGGCATCCTGCTTTCCTGTTTTATGTTCAGTTATATAGCTTATTCAAGGTGTTTGCTATAATAGGGTGTTACGATGTTAATTGTAAGAATAGTTACTAGCAGCTTGTTAGGACATGGAACATAGCTATTTGTTCTCATAGATGTTGATGTACAGGTGGATCGAATTGCAGCTACGTAACAGGATCTAAAATTATACCCTTTGGTTTTGTTATGGTTCTAAAGTTCCTTAGTCAATCAGTAAATTTTCCATTCCTTATTTTCTGGGTTCATCATTTGAGAATTGGCGATTGAATCTTGCTTTATTCTGACCATTATTGTAGTATATTCTTCCTAAGTTTCTTTCTTGAAATGCTGATTTTGCTGAATGATTAGTCTGTTGGAAAACATATTGTTGACTCTAGTTACCCGAAATATATCTTAGTGCTGTTATTTCTGCATCTGTCTCTAAGCTATTCCATCACCCTCTTTTTTGAGCCTCTGCATCGAAGGGAAGGGAGAATTACCCACGCAAAAGATCTTGAGTCAAAGAGTGAATTGAGTTGCTTAAGAGTATGGTAGTACTGTTTGGCATTACCCAAGAAGGGTGTGAGTTGTAGAAGATGAATTGCGAATGAATGGATTATTTGGCTGTGTGTTATAGGAATTGTGTGACTAGTAACCATTGAGATTCAGATTTTTATTGTTTGACATGGAAAGGTTGATGGAAAATCCCCACTGCGAATCTAAATTACATCGAACTTTTGCTTTCTTGTTGCACACACACCACATGCATCATATTCTTCTCTACAGTCTCCTCACAATTGTTATTTCCTTTATCAGAGACGTCAAGGTGATCCATTACGTGTATACATGGATCTTGAAGCTGGTAGAAAGAAATCAGTGTATGAGGATATATTTATTAGCTATCATGCAGAAGATGATGTCCAGTCAACCTATGCTGGTTCACTTTTCCATAATAATCGAAATTATCACCTTTCGCCTTATAAGAACAATGTAAGTGAAAGGCCACTTTGTTCCCTAAATTTGCATGTAAATATTCAATCGTTGAGCATAATGATTTTACTTGCTCATTCTTTTAAGTGCTTGTTATAATCTCTAGCAATTTGTAAATTCGTAGGATACTCTTGTTTATTGGTCATCATCACGTTGTCTTCCTCAAAGAAACCAGCTTGCCAAACGTCTACTCAGCTTGCTACCTTCCCATTCATTTGGCAAGTGCTTGAACAATGTTGGAGGTCTAGACAAGGCACTCTCCCTCTATCCTGAGTGCATCAAGGATTTTAAGGAAGCACCCAAATGGTGGGACCATTTACATTGCGCTATGTCACATTACAAGTTTGTCCTTGCGATTGAGAACACCAGGACAGAGAGTTATGTAACAGAGAAGTTGTTTTATGCACTGGACTCTGGCGCGGTCCCCATTTATTTTGGTGCCGCGAATGTCTGGGATTTTGTACCTCCACATTCAATAATTGATGGAAGCAAGTTTAGCTCTTTGGAGGAACTGGCTTCCTACGTTAAGGCCGTTGCTAATGATCCGGTAGCTTATGCAGAGTATCATGCATGGAGAAGATGTGGTGTGCTTGGAAACTATAGAAAGGCCCGAGCAGCAAGTCTGGATACTTTACCTTGCAGGTTATGTGAAGCCATCAGTAAAAGAAATGGGAGAAATGCAAGAGCTTCTTGATTATTCAACTGCAAAAATACAGGGTTCTAGGTTTTAAATTTCATTATTGTGTACTTAGGTCTTTTAGTGTTGTTTCTTAACAATGTTTGTGTTGATAGGATATAGACTAGGTAGGGTGACTTGTAAAGATCCCGTGCCCATACAGATTAATCATACATAAAAATTTTGGTTCAAAGAAAATTATCTATTATATAATGTCAATTTCCACCAATATTCTCCTTGATTATGAACTCTGGCTCATTCATGATCCTAGAATTCTTCTTGTCTCTAGATGTCAATAGTATCAACTTCTTTTGCTGGTAAATTACGCTAATCATTATCTGTCAAATTAGAGAATGAAACTATGACACAGTCTTTATTGTAGACTTGCAGTTCAATTAAATCCTTTTTCTTCTTCGTAATGGAAATGCACATCAAGAGTCTAATGAATACGTTTTAATGGAAGATTAAACCCAAACTACTACTGCTGGTTTACAATTTGGTTTTCCTTTTCTTTGGTAATTTGTTTTTAGGTTGGATTTGTGGNCACCAGAGACCACTGAATTCTTTTCTTTTTTTCCTTTAAGCATCGGGTATCCGAAACCCAAACTTAGATAAAGAGAAACCAGCACACGAAAAAGGCTTTCATTGCTACAATTCCATGGAAACTCAACTAGTTATACAGTCATATAATACAAGGTACACAACATGCTCTGAGATATATTCAAGGACAACTAGTGAACTGATAAGGCAGAGACCAAGTAAAAATCTCATTACTTAGCCGTTACTAAGTACATGCAGCTTAAAACTCTCCTATAAAAATTCCTGAATGAGCAAAGAGAACTGACAACTAAGTACTAACTCAGGATCAACCAGGCAAAGAACATTTTTTTTGAGAATGCCCCAACATATGGCAGCGACCACATTGAACTACTCTCTTCGGACGCTTTAAACTCTCTATGCGAAGAACCTTCTTTTTGGGCCTGCCAGGTGGTCGTCGGGTTTTTGGTGGCCGAATTAGAATATCAACTTTTGCTCCTCCACCTTCTGTACCCTCACCAGCCTCTCTCCAAAGACTCCTGTTAGGAATTGGGTATATCATTTGTGAGTAGGTTTCACGATAACTGTGGACCGTGAAACAAGGCTCAGCAAATAACTGGGCATTCTGTCCACAAGAAATAAGTGCAGCAGCAGCATGTGCACACGGCACACCATAGAGTTGCCAACGGCGACATGAGCACACACGACTTCGTATGTCCACGATATTTGTCCTCTCAGTTGATACGATTTCAAATTCAATTTCATTTGCTCGTAGAACTTTGTAGCAGCGAGCATCAGCAATTGCTTCTGAAATCCTCTTTTCAGCAGATGGCACGAGTATTGACGTCAACCTCATGCCCATGTTACGGCGATCGTTAGACCATGATATCATTTGTTGGCGGATATGTTCCATCATCTGCACAATAGGAAGTTCGTGACACTCCAGTGCCCAGTTATACAACACTTCTGTTATCCCCAATGAAAAATGACCATATCGTAATCCTTCAAAATAGGCGACAGCCCAGTGCTGTGGATTGAAATGGTGAAACCACTGTAGGACATCTTGTGAAACCTCAACCATCTCGGTGACTTTGCTCTCAAATTCAGCTGCGGTAAGTGCATATACTGCATTCCAAAATATATTCACTAATTTTGAGTTCTTAAATGTATCTCGGAAATTCTCACTGATATAACGTAGGCAAAAACCATGAAATGCATTTGGAAAATGAGTCTCGACTGCCTCAACCATACCCGCTGATCTCTCAGACAGTATAGTAAGTCTTGGCATACTGTCAGTATTTACACCCAGAAGTTTGCGGAGCTCGGACATAAACCACATCCAGTTCTCGTCACTTTCCACATCAACAACAGCTATTGCCAAAGGAAACAACGTATCATTAGCATCAACAGCTGCAGCACAAAATATCATACCCAGGTACTTTCCTTTTAAATGCACTCTATCAAGTTCCAAAAGTGGTCGGCAAGCATTTAAAAATCCATAAATTGCTGCACGATATGAGACAAACAATCTTTGGAAACAATTCTCCTGACCCGTGCTAACTGATGCAATGCTCCCTGGATTAGTCTTCCTTATCTGTTCACAATATGCAGGAAGAAGCTGATAACCTTCTTCAAAGGTTCCATGTAGAGCAGCCATGCTGCGCTCCTTTCCTCGCCATGCTTGCATATAAGACACAGCAACCCCATGCTGACTTCGAATATCCTGCAAAATCTCCTTTGGCTTATACTGAGGATTATCCCTCACCCGTGATTCCACTGATCTTGCAACCCAACCCACTGATGCTTGCTGATGGTGAAGGCTCTGAACCCCTTCACACGTATGCTCACCGTGAAGAGTCCTAATCGTAAATGTAGGAACTCCCGGACATTTTGCCACATGAACACGCCATGGACAACCTTCTTTGGAGCACTTAGCTATGAATCTACTCCTATCTGATTTGACTATTCGAATTTCAAAATGCAATCCTATAGCTATCTCTTTCAAAGTCCTTCTACATGCATCAACATCCGGGAACTCTTGCCCAATTGCTAAAGGTTGGTGAATCAACACCCCATTCGATCCGGGTACTGCTGTAAACTGCTGACCATTTGAATCAGGTCCTGATACTACTATCTCGTGTGCTGATTCCAATACATGATCCCCCATAACTCTACAGCTTAAACCTCGTTGTTAAACCTCCCAACTATAATCACTCATTTTTCTTGAAGTTGCCAAAATTTCCAAATGTGCTACTGGGGATTCATAGATCACTCCAATTTCAATATCTACCAATTGACACAGGAAAAATGATCAATTACTTATCACTCAAAAACTCAATAACAAGAAAACACAACAAGCAAAAATCAATTCAAATTCTTTTTTTTTTTCAAATGACGGTGGTGTTTGAGCCAGCTTGCCCACGCCTCAAACTATTCCACACTACGTACCTGGTACAGAGTAACTCTACCAAGTTTTAGGTACTAGGCACATGGGAAAAAATCACCCAGTAACATCAATTCAAATTCTTATACTTGCATATACCCTAGTCATCTCTGCAAAAGTACACATTTCTAGAACTACATAGCCATTGACAAATAACAGAATGTAGCTTAAGTAAGCTAAAATTAGCTCCAAACTGACAGTTCATCATGAGTTTAAACAATCCAGATTGGTCATCAACATAGGGTCAAACTCGAAGAATATCACATACACAGAAATAAAACCTTTAATATGCATTCTGCTTCATTCAAATACAGAGTAACACAAACAAGGACAAATTAAAAACACAAGAAAACTAAAAGGGGTTTTATCTTTACCTGAAATATGCTGCTGCAATTATTCAGTTGTTGAAGAGATCTAATTAGGACCCAAAAATGGCCATAATTAATAGCTGAGCTACAATAATATAGATATGTAAATTATATAAGTTACTAACCAGAAGATGCAGAGAGAAGATGAACAGTGTAAAGGCGTAAATTTGACGAATGTCGAGGGCAATTGGAAAACCCTAATGTCGAAAATGCAATTTTTTCTCAAATCAATAAGAGAGATAAAGAGAGGGCCAATTGGGGAATTAGTGGATATGTGACGTAGAAAGAACGTTAATGAAATGATAATTTTAGCCTTAGATTTGTTAGTATTTGTGCAGTGTTTGAGAGGGCTAAGACTGTAAATAGATTTAAGGATTGTGGAAATGGAAATTACAAACTTGAAAATCTGTTTAAACTGCGATTCGTCAATCAAATTAGAAATTTGGCAAAAACCGAGCACGGTCGATCAATCAATTTTGATCGGTCAAAAAACTGACCAATTTAGTCGGTTTTTCAAAATATTTTATTTTTTAATTTTTTTTACGAAACTGACCAATTTTGGTTAGTTTTCTTTGGCGCAAAAATGCGGGAAACTATTTTTGAGTCCCGGAAAATTTATTTTTCAAGAAACCGACCAACTTTGGTCGGTTTTTCATTTAAAATAAATTAAAATTAATATTAAAAAAACCGACTGAAGCCAATCGGTTAATTCGGTCGGTCATTTTGAAAAATCAACCAACTTTGATCGGTAATTTTATTTTTTAATAAAACCGATCAACTTTGGTCGGTTATTTTCGTGCGAAAATACAATTAAAGAGTATAAATGAAATAAAAAACATACCTTATTCCTTAAACCCTAAAACGGAGACATTGGTACAAGAGGAGGCTAGAGAGACCTCGAGCGTAATATACGCTACCATCGGAGAGACTTTAGTCACATCTTAACCCATGGTTGAAGAATGAGGCGATCAAGAAAGTCGTAGGCCTCGTAGTACCCGCATACGACATCTCTGTGGAGCTTTTCGGGTCGAAAACCTGTTCGACGTCAGAACCGATCTCAAAACCCTAATATCACCCTCTGAAGAGAAAGGACTTTCTCTATATCTATATCTATGCAACTAGTTCTTTCACTTGCTTCCAAATCCATCCATCTTACTTACTCAAAAGCTTTGAATATTCTACTCGAAATCTTGCTTCTAGCTTTGGGCACCTCTGACATAAAGAGAAATAGCGTATATACAAGGCTAGCCTTTTCTCTCAAGCGTCTTGGTATTGGATCCGCTCTTCTGTTAACATGAACATGAATTAGATTCTATTCTAATTCTTTATTCTTAAGAGAATCCCCCACCCGAACCATTCTTAAGACCACCAAGCTCTCTCGAATGAATTCTACTCTTTCTGCTTTCGAGCTACACCGGGGGCAAAATCTTTTCCCCACTAAGACGTGCATCTTTATGGCTATATCGTCCTGAAGACGGATGCGACGGGAAGAAGTGGCATTTGGAAGTGTTGCTGACTTAACATTTAGGTTTCGGCATAACAAAGCTTGCACTGTCTTTTCGCACTTAGGCGCACAACGTGCCATTGGTAAGTCTTAAAATAAAATAGACCAATGGCCTAGTGGTAGAATATTATCCTGCCATAGTACAGACCCCGGTTCAATTCCCAGATGGTGCAATTTTTAATTACATAATTAAAATACGGACCAACTTTTCCCGACCAACTTTCGTCGGTATGCCCTCCCGACCTTCAAAATACCGTCCACACATAAATGGTTGTGTTTTGGACGATTATTGGCCATTATCGATCAACTTTAGTCGATTTTTTGGACGATTTTGCCCAGGTTTCTAGTAGTGTACTTTGCTAAGTATTACAGTTATT